AAACTTGTTCAGAAAAATCATAATGTATTCGTGTAAGAATCATAAATTCATACAATATTAAAAAACCTGTCTTCTCTTCAGAGTTCCTGCTATCCTCTTATAGTCAGCACTCCAAACCCTTTTTGCAAGCAATCTGGAATGTCTGCTGCATTGACTTCACTTGTAAGAGAAGCACAGTGGACGTCCCCATTTATTGGTCCAAAATAAATTAGTAGAATTTCAATGAGAAAAATTACCCAGTCCTTCACTGGGACAGCACAATAAAATTCAGAAGTACAAATCAAGGAATGACTGGTTAGGCTGCAGTACTGCAGAAAACGACCTATGAGCTATAGCAGACTGCAAGATGAATGATACCACAGGGTCAGGCAAAATACAGCCCAAAGGCTGGATCTGCCCCACAAACTCATCAGGGGAGATTATCAGCAAATAGAAAGAGCCCTATTCTCCCCAGCACCACCTGGGGTGACAAGGAACAATGGTAATAAGATGATGAAGAATAGGTTTAGGTTAGAGGTTAGGAGGCAATATTTTACAGTTAGGGTGGCCAGAATCTGGAACCAACTTCCCAGGGAAGTGGTCCTCGCCCCTACCTTAGGTAAATTCAAAAAGAGGTTAGATGATCACCTGTCTGGGGTCTTGTAAACCCAGCATTCATTCCTGCCTGTGGCAGGGGGTCAGGCTAGATGATCTGTTCAGGTCCCTCCTGACCCTAGCTACTATGAAACTGGCTGGATCTGGCCTGCAGCTGCCCCTGCAATGCTCCACATGGTGCTGAGCCCCACCCAGACAGCCTGGTCCTGCACTATCCTTAGCCCTGGCCCCAGCCAGCACAGCTTCTCACAGGGCTGTTCCCAGTGCAGCTCCAGCTGGCCAGATGTACCTCTGCTCCCCTCATCTCCAGTGGGAGCAGCCGGGCTACGGCTTCCTTTCCCCCACCCTTCTGGAGTGGCACAGGATGGGGCAGGAGTGGAAGGAGCAGCTACTGGAGGCAAGGGGAGCACAGCAGCATCTGGGCAGCTGCAACAGGAATGGCTCCACTGGAAGCTGCCTGCACTGGCCAGGACTGTCAGGGCTGTTATGCTCCCCCCCACTTCCTTCCAGCTGCGGCGCCTACGCTTCCTGCGCCACTCCGAGCAGGTGGGCAGGGGGAAGCCTCAGCAGGAGGCTTCTGCCCAGCACATGGAGATCCAGCTCCTGGCCACCTTCCACCCACTCCAGTTGCCTGCAGGGGATGTTCATGAAGCCAGGCTGGTTTGGAATCATTCAAGAAACATTTGGATGCTTATCTTGCTGAGATCCTTTGACCCTAGCTGACTTCCTGCCCCTGGGGCAGGGGGCTGGACTTGATGATCTTTGAGGTCCCTTCCAGCCCTAGCGTCTATGAAATCTATGAATGGAGCCAGAAGCTGGAGCTGAAGATCCATGTGCTGGGTAGAAGCCTCCCACTGAAGCTTCCCACCCACCCAGCGCAGCACAACGCAGCAAGGGCGGGGGAAGCCACAGCTGGAGGTGAGGGAAGCAGAACAACCCCACCAGCCCCAGCCATCATACGGCCCGGCCTGGCCTGGCTCAGCTTGTCCTGGCTGCAGCATGCAGTTTCCTGCTGCAAGGCTGGGACCCACGCAGGACAGCAGGGAGGGGATGGGCTGGCTTCGTGCCACGCTGTGCAGTCCCTAGCTTTGCAGCTGGAACTGCCTTATGCCAGCCTGAGCTGGGGTGGCCCCATGTGTGCCATATAGGTCCTAGCCTTGCAGCCAGGAACTGCATGCTGCAGCAAGACAAAATAGATAAGGCTGGCTCTCCACCTCCCAACATAACCCAACACACACCCACACCCTCCCACAGCCCCTACCATAACCCCACACACCTCCACACCCCCCACCATATCCATACACACAACCTACCATGCACCCCACCCCACACCCCTAAAAACCTTTCCACAACCCCCAAAGACACTCCCACCCCTACCATACCCACATCCACATCCTCCCATACCCCCTTACCCTAACCACATACCCCACCCCCAACTGCCATACCTACACCCCCCACACCCACTCCCCAACTGCACAGCCCCCACATAGACCACCTTTAACCCCTGCCTGCACAACATACAAGAGTAAGAATGTATATTGAGCTATTATTGCCTCTAGATACACTATGCAAACACACATAAATCAGGACAAAAATATTTTTTAAAATAAAATTAAAATAAGTTATAGTAGATGTTTGATATTTTTAGTATACGATTTAATTTTCTGGTTTCAAGATGGCAGCCCCCTCCCAAAAGGAGTACTATCAGGGCAATTGGAGGGACTTCTGGTGTCAAAGGTCAGGGGTTAGGGAGCAAGACTTCTAGTCCCAAGATGGTGACCAGGAGGTGGAACAACTAGCAGGGGGCAAGGCTACCCATGTGGCCCTTGACAGCTCACCAAACCTCGTTAAGCAGCCCTCCAGCTGAAATAATTGCTTGCCCCCGAGTTATCAGCATGCTCTTTTTTCACAGAAAGCCAAACGCATAGTGCAGTGGTGCTCAGATTCCAGCCCACAGCATGGCATCAGCCCACAGGGCTCCCCAAGGGTCCAGACATTTGGTGGTGGGAGAGCAGTAGCAGCATTAACTGCCACGGCTCTGGAAACCACAGTAATAACCACTTCCGCCACTCCCTTACTACTAAACTTCCAGACATCTGCAGGTCAAGTTACAGGGCTCTCTGTGGGCAACAGGGGAAATTTAGGTGGGATAAAAAAAAGAATTCTGACTATGATGGGGCTAAAGTACAGGATCAGATTAGCTAGAGAAGTTGTGAAATCCCCATCACTGGAAGTTTTTAGGAGTAGGCTAGATGAATACTTGGCCGGGATGACCATTTAGACATGGATGGTCTTGCTTTGAGCAGAGGTTGAACTAGAGCAGTCAATCTCAACCAGGGTGCCATGGCACTCTGGGGTGCCTTGAGATCCTTTCAAGGCTGCCACAGGGTGCCAGGCAATTCCAGCACTGATAGGTGTGAAATCAGGATTCACAAGATAAACCCAGAGATTTCAAACAGGTATCCACAGTGCTAAAAACATTCTGACTTGTCGGGGTCTTTCTGAATTCTTTGCAACAGAAGAATTTCTCTGTTATTTTTCTGTAGTTAAAAAAAAAATCAGTGAAAATGAAGAGCAGGCATTTTCTGAGGGGTGCATCTAGTATAAGGAGTTTGGTTCAGTGGTTCTTAGAGAGTGTCCTTAGGTTCTATTCTTCTCTCATCTCTTGGATTAAGCATTGCTGCCAATTTGTGCTGATGGCCAGACATAATGTGGTGTGGATGGTCGACTTGGAGGTGACATGGAATCTTCTTCCATGCCCCCTCCTGGATTTAAAGGACTCTCCATGTTACATTCCAATTAAAAGGCTAGTACTGCGCAGTGTCCAAGGTACACATTCAATAATCTCAACAATTAGTCAGTGAGAATCATTACTCAAAGGCTGTGTATCTAGTGGAACTGCACAGAATTGATAGCAGATTGACTGCAGAGAATTGATAGATAGCACTGTATTCAATGTGATTATTGATGATAAAAGTAAGCATAAAACCACCACTGACAGGAGTTCCAGGTGGCACAAAGACTGGCAGAATGGTAAGTAAAGCTGAGGACAGAGCAGCCATACAGGGTGATCTGGATCACTGGATAAGCTGGGTCTCTTCCAGCACAATGCATTTGGCTATAGAAATACAAGAGTTAAGGCCATTCCTAGTGAACTACATCCTGGAAAGCAGGAACTCTGAAAAGCAGTGAGGGGTCATAGTACATAAACAACTTGAGACATCCATGCAGTCCTGTGTCAAAAAAGGCTGATGAGATCTTTGAAAGAATAGATCCAGGAGGCATGAGTAGGAGCAAGGGGTTGATTTTACCTCAGTATGTGGTACAAGTGAGACAATGCTGTCATTGTACGTATAATTCTGGTGCCCTCATCTTATAAAGGACATTGAAAGAGGAGGAAGGCCACAAAAAAGTCCCCAGAAACTATTCCTGGGCTGGAGAAAACATCTAACAGCAAAAGACATAAAAAAGCTCCATCTGTTTATCTCATCATAAAGAAGACAGAGAGGGAACCTGATGCCAGTGCCCAAGCACCTTCACACAGAAAGAAGTTACCAGGAGATAAAAGGGCTCTGTAATATAGTGGGGAAGGCAGAGAAAGAACACAGGGCTAGAGGCTGCAGCCAGAAAAATCAAAGTAGAAATAAGACTCCACTTTTTTCAGTAACAAGGGTAATAAATTATTGAAGCAAAACTACTGTAGGAAAAGCAGAACTTCCTTGTGTTAATGTCTTCCTGAAAGGTATCCAGTCTTGACTGTAAGACATCAGGTTAGCAGGACTCAAAACCTGGATGGGCTGTAATGGCCTGGGATATACATGATGTCAGATTGGATGATTTTACAATTCCTTTTACCCTCTAACTCTGAAAATTTCAGCTCCATCTCTGTTCAATTTATCGGGGGCGAGAGCTCTTAGTTCCCCACGGCCTCTCTCTAGTTTGCCAAGTGCAAGTTCTCTCCATTTTCTACACTGGTGACCAAGGCTCAACAATGTGGTCTTCTTCAGCATTACTGTTTACCCAGAAGCAGAACCTGCAGTGACAAGGAGGAGGAGAAATATAGGGAACAATCTTGCAGGAATGGGATGGTGACCAGAGGGCTTGGGGGAGAGGAGAAAAACATGGAAGACTCCACTCTCCCAGTTTTGCTCTGTAGGATTAGGAAAGGGAAAAAGATACCCATTTTAAAAGAAATTCAGTGGCTTGATTAAACCTTCAGGCCTCTTTTGGGGGGAGGGGGATCAACTGTTGGCTCTGCAGTTTCCCTGTTTGAGTTAGTGGAGAAAAGGCCTCCAGTTTCCCCATGGGGAAAGGTCTCCCCCCCACCCCCACCAAGGCCTTTCCCATGAGGGAAAACTGGTAGGGTGCAAAAGCTTCTTACACACAGCTTAGGACACAGTTCTTACCTGAACAAGGCCAAGCTGAAGGACCACAGGGCTAGTGGCATGCGTAGGTTGTAGCCTCTCCGCTCCTTCATGACATACTGACCTCCAAAAATCAACAGCACATAAGCCAAAGAGAAGGAGAATGATTTCTGCCTGCAAGCAGAGGGAGGAGAAAACACAATTCTCAGAGAAGCTGGCACAGAGCACCAGTGAGGACCTATGGGAAGATACAGACTAGTCCCCTGCTCCTGGTAGGACCTTCTACACCTTAGACAGGGACTAACATCAGTGCCTTAAAATGAGATCTCCATTCCTAGCAGACAACACATACCTAGCAATCCCCTGCCATGGTGAGGGCAGGCCCTGAAAGCAAGCAGAGCTTGTAAGGAATACCCATGATGGGGAAAGGAAATAAGAGATCCATTACACCCAAGTCTTCCACTGACAGTGTCCTGGCCTTTCAGATCCTATCTGAGGACTTAACTAACAAGGATTTTAAGTTGAAAAAACATGGCAGTCTTTACAGATGGGCCCCTCCATGGTAGGTTGTGATAAGACAACATTGCCTAGCTTTGTAAAAAAGCAGCTCATAGTAGGAGAGACATGACAGGATTCTACAAAGGCCAAGTTGTGTATTCAGTGTCACTATACACTAGGGTCAAAATCTTGTTTCATGATGCGGAGATGTAAGTTTTGGCCCTAACTTTCCAGACTAGGGATGTTTCAGTTCACACAACACAACTTTTTAATAAGATGGTATTTTACTTGACTGGACAAAATCCTACTAGCTCTATACTAATGGTCATCATCCTTTAAGACTCAAGGCACCCTCTATAGCTTTTCTGAATTTTGCAGTGACATGGGGGAGAATTACTGGTCTGGAGGCTCATAGCTGAGTACCCTTTCCTCCATCTTCTGATGATTCATTTGAATTCTACCATTTGTGTGTTTCTACCTAGCTATCTTCTCCAGTTAACATGAACACTGACACAACTCGGGGCAGGGGGCCCCCAAGCACAGCCCCTGACACCATGGCTGCTTCTCTGGAGTCTCATACTGTCTGCTGCTCTGTTGCCACTCAACTCCTTCCTCTGCTCTTCCTTGGTTTCAGGTCTTTTTATCAAAGATACATGCAGGTGGAAGTGATGTGCACTGAAAATGAATGTGCACCTCATACTGCTTGGGATACTAGGGTGTTATATGGGTTCTGGTTTTTGCAGTAAGAAGCTAAATTATGTATCATGGGCTTTAATCTCCTAAACCTGCCTGTAGACTGCAGACAAGAGCCTGAGCATAAAAACAACCCAGCACTGTTTTTAAATCACCACCACTGTGCTTGCTTCTTCCTTCAGACCTAGTAAAGAATGCTTTGCATTTGAAAGCTTGTCTAAGCCCATCCCAACCATGCAGCTGGTCCAATGAAAAAAAATATCACCCACAAAAGTCTTTGTCTCTTGCTTAAAGCACTTGAAAGACATGGCCCTCTCCCCCTCATCACCTCATTCATTTGGCCATAATCACTAGTTTAAGCATTACTTTGCACCTGTCACTCTGCAGAGGAGCCTGTCCTGAGATCGAGCAGTGACACCAAGTTCCTGAAGCTGCTGAAAGCTGAGAGGAAGGCTCAGATAAAACAGGTTCTTTCAAAGAGAAGCTCCAAGTCCCCAGCTGGGGCTGCTCTCCTTCCTCACTAAGTAGTGAGCTTCTACCACACACCACCTAGCAACCACGAGTTTCTATTTGGTAGATCGCTGGCCCTCATGGCCCATGCTGCCCCAGGAGCTTGAGAGCAGGGGACAAGCTGGACTGAAACACCCGGCTGTGCAGCCTCGTGTCTACTGACCTGGCCAGGGGCTGGGAGAAGGAAGATAGGAGTCTCCAGAGAAGCAGCCATCAAGCTGCTTCTCTGAAGGAAGCTGGGTCTGGGACAAGGATGAGGGAGGAGAGCACTTACCAGCTCACACAGGAGCCAGGGTCGACAGCACCCATGAAAGGACCTCATGACGTCCTAGGGTGTCACAGCTCCCCAGCTGAAAAATCACTGCTCTATACCATCATATGACACTGCTGACATGCAAGCACCCTGAAGGGTAAAACATAACAGCAGCTAACAAGACAAGTGAGGAGAGCCTTCAGATGGAACTGGAGCTGGAACATGACCATTCGTCCCATTCACATGTAGAGTACCACAGGGTGACCAGAACCTCAGCTGCACAACTTGACCATATGGCAAGTGCCGTGACCCTGTTCCCTCAACACAGTGTTGGCAAATATTCAAAAGCCTTAGGTCCAAATTAAACTCTACCTCACATCACAGAAAGAGTAAAGATCTCAGATTGTCCCTTAAGGGATTCAGCCTATTGACAGCATCTCCTCTGGGCTGAAGCGGCAGGTAATATTGTGGATTGCAACCGAGGAACCTTGGCAGAACCTGCTGTTCAGGTGAGGAGAGAAAGGCTGGATGAACAAGTTAAAATTGCAGTGCACTGGCAGAGACCCTACTGTCCCAACCAGTGTGAGAGTGAGACAGAAAGGCTCACAAGATTAAAGTGACAGGACCATTGTGATCAAGGTCTGACCTACCACAAAGAAGCAAGTGTCCAAAGAGAAACAAAGAAAGAGTTAACAGAGGATGCTGCTACCAAACAGCAGCACCATGCTTTGTTTTAGCCAACACTGCATTTTGCATACTTCATGCAAGAGTTAAAGCCAAACAGCATGCTAGAAGGCAAAGCTCTTACTCCATTCTGGAGAAAGCCCAACACTGTGACTCCCAAACATAGATGTGTCCAGGTCACACGACTAAAGGAGGCTCAAGTGTGGGCCAGTGTTAGCAGGCACCCAGTGAAGCAGGAGCAAGCCCAGAGCAATCACAGTTAAACTTCCATCTCATCCCCTATTTGCTTAAGAGGTGGCAGTGCATTGTTTGAATTATTTTCAGAGACTGCGGGTTGGGCAAAAAGTGTAGAAAGACAATGCCATCATCAGCTCATGCCTGGGCATTGCTTGGGCTGATGGCTCCTCCCCAAGAACCTGCCCATCTGCTGGCAGCCACACAGGTAGTATAATTCAGGGTCTGTCTGAGAAGTGTGGTATAAGGTTGGGGGGGGGGGGGGGGGGGGGGGGGTCTGAGAATGCAGAAGACATAACACTCAAACTGCTCCACAGATATCACTGGCAACTGTTTCACCACTGTCCCTGGGAAGAAGCATGTGCACTGCTACCAGTTCCAAGTAACACTCTTAGCAGGGGCTGCACTGCTACCAAAGTGCCACCAGGGATGGTAAGTACCTAGACCAGGGGCGGGCAGTTATTTCAGGTGGACGGCCGCTTACTGAGTTTTGGTAAGGCATCGAGGGCCACATGACAGGCAGCCAGGGGCAGATAAATATTAACTTTCTAAATTTTGTAGGGGCCCCGCAGGCCGGATAGAATGCAGCCCGCCAGGCCATTTTGCCCACCCCTGACCTAGACACCCATGCCTTCCAGGGAGTTTCCCCAGGATTCCTCTAGAGGGGAAGGAAGACCCAGATTGGGGGTTGCCTGGGTTGGAGGGGTTGCCTGGTGCTGGGGGGGCTATGTGGACCCATGCTTGTAGTTCCTAGGGGGCTGGGTGTCCTGCTCCTTCCTCCCCCCCAAGAACTCCCCAGCATTGTCAGGGATCACCTAGAGATGTGTGCACAGGGTGGAACCTGCACAACAAGACTGGCTTCAGGAGTGCAGGCCACAGGGCAAGGAACAATTAACTGTTAATGGGCACAGAACTGAGAGCCACTCTTTTCTATCATGTGCCCATTGTGCAATGGCTCTGTTTCCCCCACAACCACCCAACTAACAGGTGTTTATTCTTGCAGGCACAACCCCCCCACCCCCAAGCAGGAGGCTACAAAGACCCCAGAACCTGGCTACCCGAAATAAGGGTCCCTAGCAGGGACGGGAAACTGACACAGGCTTTCTGCTTCCCCACCTCTGCGGACTGTGGTCTCTCTGGGTGAGTCTACACAAGATGCTGACTGCACAGTAGCCCAATACTACTGCGCAGTAATGCTGCATGGCAAAAAAACCATGATGCAATGCTACTGTGTACCAGTATAAAGCTACTGCGCAGTAGCATCACAAAAATGGTATTCACCAGAGCTACTGAGCAGTAACTCGGGTTAATTGTTTATGCAAGTACTAAACAAATGCACAGCAACCACTGTGCAGTAGCATCTAACGTAGATGCGGCCTGTAAGCAATAGATCTTTGGGCAGCACAATTCTGGCTGTATCCCAGAGCAGACCTATTGCTATGCATGGATTTGGAGGGGTGAGAAAAAGTGCAGTTTGGGATGCCTGTAGGACTGAGTAGACAGACACTAAGCACAGAATACTCTGTGTCCACACCTAATACAGAACTGATTCAAGGAGTTCCAGTTCACAGTAAAACTCAACTTTTCTGGTGTTCTTTTGAAAGGTTCCAGGAAGTTTAAACTTGTCTTCAGTGCCCTGTACATCTAAATTCTTGTGGCTTAAATATTTAAAACATTCTCAGCCTTATGGTTGTCCACACCCTCTGTGACTACATTTCAGTCACTCCCATGTGATCCTGGGACAAGGCCTTTGGCTGTGATGATCTTTGATCCAGCCTGCGGTTCAGAGGACAGCTCAGCTCTTCCTGA